AATTTCACAAGAATCCTGCAGACTTAAGGCTTATCCCAGGCATGTTTTAATACTGTGCTTGCTCACATGAATAAAACAATATATAAAGCACAGATGAGCATGCAAGATACCTTAAAACAAATAACCTATGTTCAGGCAGGTTATATTACGTTGCTCCGTAACTTGTATTACACTAGTTAAACAAGGAAATAGTTTATTTAAAAAGTACATCCAACTTACCATCCCCTTGCTTAGCAGAAAGAGTGCTCTGAAACGAAACAAAATGATGCCACACTCAAAAAAGTTACCCAAACCACAACGGTACGTAAAAACCCTGGGGGGGGGTGGGTGGAAATCTGCCATTCTCCCCCTCAAAGACAATAGACAGTACAGTATTAAGGAACCTGCCGCAGAAAGCACATTTAAAAGCTAGATGGAACAGTCCAACCGTAGCACCAGGAATTGAAATCCCAGCCTCTCAGGTTTGTATCTAAGCTTTGGACGGTTCCAGTTACAGCAGCTTCTGAGGCCAAAACAGGCTACTGAGAAAACTTGCCGATAAAGACAATAAAGAAAATTCATTTTGAAAAAAGACTCTCCAGAGTCTTAGTGGACATTATTGGTTTTAACAGAAAAAGAAAAGACCTGCAGAAACTCTCAGATCTAAGAGAACACTCAGAAATATTGGTTTGCCTGTAAAACCCACGTAGCAATCACATCTCTAAATAAAACTAGAACATCTCTAAATAAAACGTAGAGGAAACCAAAATATTTTCTGTGGGAAGGGAAAAAGGGCTAGGGAACTCACCTGGTATACTCTGATCCTACCACCCGAGCGTATTCTGCTCCAACTCCGAGAAGGTCACATGCAGATACTAAATCTTTTTCAAGTGTATGTAGTTGCTGAAATAAAAAAAAAAAAGGCCCTAAGAGATCAGCATTTTCTTTGTGAACCTAATTAGCAATTTTTAAAAATGTAATTACTCCTGTGCTTTACGTGACAAGTGCTAAACTGGTACTCGCTAAATCTATCATCTGATTTTAGACACATTTTCCAGGAACACCTGGCATTCTCCAAAAAAAAAAGTCCGTAACATTTCAAAGAAAATTTCTCAGCCCAGTTTCATACCACGCAAAGCTGTTGTAATTCGTTAAGATCATGTGCAAATGAGATCCCAGCAGCTCCAATATAACCGTGGACCGTTACATTGGAGTAACTGGAACAAGAGAGCGTGTTTTTCAGCAAGAAGAGCAGAGAAAGTCTGCAAGGTATGCCTCAGGTGACGGGGAGAGGATGATCAGCTGCCAGAGCACCTCTCACTCCCTCCTGCCTGCCGCCTTTTGTACCTTCTCCAAACGCAGGTAGAAAGCCGCACAGTTGTAGAAGAACAGGCACCAAGGCGATGAGACACACGGGCCTCTGTGGTCAAGCAAGAGCCAGAAAGGAAATACCACACAGAAGAGAATCAGCAAAGAATGCCAAGCTTCGAGGAAGGATCCTCTTTGGAGGGAGGCACTGAGAAAAACGCTTAAGCTTCTTGTGAGTACTCAGGCATTAACTCATTGCAAAGTAAACATTTGTCCTTTAATCGATAGGAAAGTAAGGCTCTCCACAATTCACTGTTCCTAAACTACACAAAGGAGCTTGGCAATTCCTTTTAAAGGGAGCTGGTCTGCTTGTTTAAGCTCATCAGGACAGGGGAAAAAGACAAGCACAGGTGACTATTAAGACAGTCTTCAAAGATAAAATTGCTTCCTAACGAGCCCTCTGCTGCGGAGTACCTGTAAAGAGCAATTAACTCCCTCAACTCTCGTGTTAAACACCTCGAGGTTCTTTAGGACCAGAGAAGAGGTGTAACCTGGAAAAATAGGGGGAGTTCTTCAGCAATAATCTGCTCTTCCCGCTGAGCAGTTAACTTTCTGGATATGCTCCCCACCTAATGCACTGGATCACTCAGGAAAATCAGCGCTTGAGGAGTAGTGACACAGCTGAAGACTAACAAACCTTAAACACTGCAAATTCCAACACGCACCAGTTTATTCCCAGAAGTGAAGACGGTCTGACCTGTGCAGCTGAAGCCACATTTAGAGCATATTACAGAACAGGAAGAGTAACGTTGCTTGGAGGCCTTTGCACCAGCTGCTTCTCCCACCCCAGTTCTGCTCTGTCTGCTAATTAGGTTGAAAATAATCAAACAAACACTTCAGGCTGGCAAGCTCCAATTCCAGCAGGCTTTAAGAGGACATTTGCCCTTACTGCAAGCCATAAGGTGGATTTTATTTCGCTCTGCCTCTAAAGTTGCGTGTTACTAGTGCCCACAGGATGATCCTTGCTGCTTTCTTCCCTCAAAAGTGGGCCTCGATCCCATCCGTAGCCTACCAATGTATCATTATTTTATAGCATGAGCTTTTCTTCTTTTGTCTCTCCATTAGCAGCACTGATTGGGGGTGGGGGGAAGGCATCCAAGCTCTTTTTAAGCAGTTTTTTTACAATCACAGTGCAACAGTAACATGGCTATCAATACAAATCACTTACTGCAAGTTGAAAAAGCAATCTACAGTGCCAGTACGGAGTCTGCTGTGAAATCTGAATGGCTTTGCGTAACAGAGGTTTTGCTGTATCCACTGAATTCTGAAACAGAAACAGGCACCCTAGTCAACATAAAAAACAGGCTGCCGGGAACCTCATCGCTAACAATAACAACTTTTAAACTGGTTGTATTCTGTGCTGATCCCCCATTAACGTCTCACAGGTCAGGAACCTTAAAGCATGAAAAACAATAAAAACAAGTGTTTTAACAGGCAGGCCCATACATCTAACACTCGACTCAAAGCCTGTTCAAAGGTATTAGCTATTTAACTCCTTTGGCCACTATTCTAATGTGCATTTTTTCCTGCATGTGAGAGAAAAGGCAAACATTTGCTTTAGAGAAAGTAAAGACTAGTTAAGGCTTTTCCGGAGAAAAAGAATAAAAATAGCCTAGGAACACAACAAAAGCCCGAGGAAAACCATCTACTTCCCTCCCTCCCCCGAAATTAGCCCGTCTTTGTCTAAGTGAGGGCTAAAGAAATACTTTGGCCAAGTAAACTTCCTTTGCTGTGGAAGACCCGCATTGCAATTCCAGCAGCAACTTTCACGGTAAGAAAGACCAAAAGTCTTTCAGGCTTACGCTTTAGTACTCTGTATTTACACTACAGAGTGGTGTAGCAGACCACTGAAAATGTCATGAATCCTATTAATAACAATATGCTACTTGAAGACCGACGACACTCAAATTAAATGCAGCCCTGCAGCCCCAGGACAACCGACAATTCCTGAAGTAGTCTCGGTGCACTCACCTCCTGACAATACAGTTCGGACAGAAGGCTGGCTGCCTCAAACTTAACGTCTTCAAACTGGGGAATCTAGCGGCATCAGAGTTAAGTAAATACTAAACACCGGCTGGAACACAGCAACACTCCAACATCCAAAAAACCCTTTACAGAACATACGTGTTCGGAAAGCGGCCCGCAACCACGGAAGTAGATTAAAAATACCAGCTAAAACCCCGTCCCCAGGGCCAGGCTCTCTCTGCGGAGGTGTTTTGTTATCGGAGCCCTCGCTGCAGGAGCGAGGCGGCCGGGCAGCGACGCTCCCCGCCCGGGCGGCCAGGAAAAGGATACTTGCTGGGATATCAACCACTGCAAGAGAAGCCGGCGGGTTAGTCTGCACCCCCCACAAGCCGGCCCCGCTGACAGGCCCGCGTCCCCCCGCCCCAGCCGCCCTCCCCGGGGCTCACCGCCTTCTCCAGGTGCCCGCGGGCCTGGTCGCCGTTGCGGGTGCGGGGGTAGAGGACGGAGCA